GAGAGGGGGACACAGAATCTGAAGCAGGCTCCAGGCTCTGAGCTGTCAGCACAGAGCCCGATGCCGGTCTCAAACCTGCAAACCATGGGATCGTGACCTGAGCTGAAGTCAGACACTTAACCAATTGAGCCACCCAGGCATCCCCAGGACTGTGTTGTTTAATTTCCATTCATTTGTGAATTTTCCAGCTTTCTTCCTGGTATTGTTTTTTAGTTCTATACCTTTGTGGTCATTGTGAAATCATTGGTATGGTTTCAATCTTCTTAAATTTGCTAAGATTTCTTTTACGATCTAAGATATGCTCTATCCTGGAGAATGTTCTGCAAGTGCTTAAGAAGAATGTGGTTTTTGCTTGCTTGTTTGTTTGTTTGTTTGTTTTTTAAATGTTTTATTTATTTCTAGGAGAGAGAGAGAGACAATGTGAGCAGGGGAGGGTCAGAGAGAGAGGGAGTCACAGACCGAAATAGGCTCCAGGCTCTGAGCTGGCAGTCAGCACAGAGCCCGATGCGGGGCTTGAACCCACGAACTGCAAGATCATGACCTAAGCGAAAGTCGGACGCTTAACCGACTAAGCTACCCAGGCTCCCCTGTTTGTTTTTTTAATGTTTACTTTTGAGAGAGAGAGAGAGAGAACATGAGCAGGGGAGAGGCAGAGGGAGAGAGAATTTTAAGCAGACTCCATGCCCAGCACCAAGCTGGAATGGGGCTTGATCTCAAGACCATGAGATCATGACTGTGACATCATGACTTAAGCTGAAATCAAGAGTCAGATGCTTAACTGAGCCACCCAGGCACCCGTCTCCCTTCTCTTTTTATGCAATTATCTTAGAGTTTTGTTATTGTTGTTGTAGTTCCATTGTGTTGCTAAAGTTTCTTAGGTGGAACTCTCCCAGGGCTGTTTTTGTTCATAGATGTCTAATTATTAATCTTTGTCAGAGGATGGAGGCCGTGATCTCCTATGTCACTGTTTTGGTGATGCCGCTCTCTCCATCCTCTTTGAAGTTCCACTACCTTGTGTGGTTTCTGAGTAGAGCTAGGGCTTGGTAAAAAATTGTTCAAATGATCCATAGTCTTCCACTTTGTCGTAGTGTACACAGGCATTATGATTTTTAGGAACTTATGCTTGGTTCCTGCATATAATAATGGGTCATCAAATCTGAGTGGCCAGGATTATCTCAATGATGGACATTCAGGCATTGTCTTAGCCACTGTGCCAGTTAAACTTGGCTACAGTAACTGACATACCTGAATTTAGTGGCTTAAACAAGGAGGAGGGAGGAGTAGTCTACTTTCCTTCTGTTCCAAACAGTCTGAGGGAAGCAAGCTCTGGTGCCATGCTCAGTGACTTTAGTCAAGTGCTTATGTCTCTTGGATATAACATGGCTTCTGAAGCTCCAGACATCACATCTGCTTTCAACGTAGGAGATAAAAGGGATGTGGAAGTGCAGCCCCAACATTGCGTTTTCTTCTGTCTAGAGGAGCAAGATTCTTCCAGGGTTCCAGGAGTCTTCAGAGGAATTTTGTGTGTCCCATAGCCCTCCCCTGGCTGCCAGGGAGGGTGGAAAGGAAGTGTCTTTCTAAGGGCTGGTCCCTGAGTTCTAATCACAATTAGGCCCAACGGAGACAAAATTGGCTGGTGATGGAATGCTACAGAATCTGTGACAGATGTCTCTTTTTCATGTCATATGTTAATCGCATCTTTGTTTTCTTTGTATTTTTTAAAATGTTTTATTTATTTCTGAGAGAGAGAGAGAGAGAGAGAGAGAGACAGTATGAGCAAGGGAGGGTCAGAGAGAGAGGGAGATACAGAATCTAAAATAGGCTCCAGGCTCTGAGCTAGCTGTCAGCACAGAGCCTGATGCAAGGCTCAAACCCACGAACCATGAGATCATGACCGTAGCCAAAGTCAGTCGCTTAACCAACTGAGCCACCCAGGTGCCCCTGTTTCCTTTGTATTTAATGTCTTTTTTCTTCCTTCTCCACATATTATTCCACTTGTGCATGGTTCCAATGAGCAGAAAATAAGCAATATTTACTAGTGGATCAGGGGTTATTGTTACAAATAAGATGGTGGTTAGCAGTTTCCAAATATTTTGCCTTTAGCATGATCCTCACACCGGCACTATTAAGTGTTTTTATACTTAATAGTAAATTGTTTTATTCAATTTTCACAAAACCTCTATGAGTCCAACAATCATACCTTTATCCTACCAGTGAGGGAAATGAAGATCAAAGAAATGGAGTTATTTGCCCAAGATCACCTGGAAAACAACAAAATCAGAATCTGGGTTTAGATGTGTCTACCACAAAACAGGACTTTCACTATGAGAAGCTTCCTACAAGTGGTAGTAGGTCTTACTGGAAGAAAATAACATGGATCTCATAGAAGTAGGAAAGAGGTTTGTTTTTACAGAGGGACAGCTTGGGGACAGTCTCAGAGGTGGGGAGAAGGACAACAGAAGCAAGAAGAAAAACTGTGACATTAAGCATCATGAGATTTAGGGCAAAATTTCTAGTCTCATATCTATAGGAGGTAATGTTTCCTTCTGGAATATCTAGTGAAATATCAATTTTTCAGAAATGATTTAGACAGACTAAATTCTCCTTCCTAAACAAGGCATTCTAGGACACAACGTTATGTATCCATTGCATTTATATCATTTATTCACTGAAATCATAGGCTACTTCAGGTACTTATCTTGGACTGCTGTTATTAACATGCCTTTCTTTGCTTCATTTGAGATGAAATTCAACTGCAAGTGTTTTCCAAAGTTCCATTTGATGAAACAAGAACAGCAGGCAAATCAATTACAAAGAGAGACGTGAAGGAAAGCAAGTATATGCCTTTAAAATTATAAGCGTAGATATTTATAAAAGCCTATGTGTTGTGTTATTTGTACTGCCCTATCACTTTAGCATTCTTAACCAAGGTATGTAGGTGCAAAACCAAACTAAGATGTGAAAGAAAGCATTGTCCAATATACTTTCTATGACCTTCTACCAACGATGAAAGTCTGTGGTCTATAGTACAAATATCAGTATTTGGAGGTGACCTCTGAAGTTCATGTGTCAGGGAGGTTCTCTGACTCTGGAGGCTGTTCAGAGGATGGGAACCAGATTTGCAAGTGTTGTTCACTTTTCCTGGTAACACTTGCTGTGAGTAGTGTAATGACTTTCTATTCAACAGCACTTTATAGTTCAATGTGCATGAGTGCCCCGGTCATTGGTTTGGGATAGTAAAGCCTTCCCACGCCCCTCCCCATTGTCTCTCCACTCTACACTCCAGCCTCTGGAAAATATTTGCACTAAGAGACAGAGCCCATTTCTCCCTTTGGACTGCTGCTCAAATGACAAAGCTAAAAGGAAGAAGCTTGTCCCATGCGGAAAATCATGTACATTAACCTAAATCACACAAGTGACAGAGAAACTCTTTAAGGTAGACACTGTGTGCATTAGGAAAAGTTTTAAATTGGGTAATTGTTTATCAGGATAAGCCAGGCATGTATGCCCAGGTTGAAATTATGAAACTATTAGCAAACCATTTTTATAGCTAACAGTTCTCCCAATGCATTTCACAAACCACAGATTAAAGTGAGTATTTCACTGTGTAGTCATGATGGGGACCCTGCATAAGGTTATTATGCTCCCTTGGCTGACACAATATGAGGAACACATTTTTTTAAAAATATTTTTTTATTTATTTCTAGGAGAGAGAGAGACAGCGTGAGCAGGGGAGGGTCAGAGAGAGAGGGAGACACAGACTCTGAAACAGGCTCCAGGCTCTGAGCTGGCAGTCAGCACAGAGCCCGACGCGGGGCTCGAACCCACGAACCGCAAGATCATGACCTAAGCGAAAGTCGGACACTTAACCGACTAAGCCACCCAGGCGCCCCAAGGAACACATTTTTAACGAAGTGCTTGAATGTGTCTATTCCTAATGATTCACCAGTGTTTCATCACCAGAAAATTGCACATTTCTTACTTATTGAATCAAAGTAGTTGTACTTGAAGTCATTTGGCATACACCAAGCAGGCTTTCCTAACACTTTTTAAATTTGTTTGTAGAGTTGAGAGCTGCAGTGTGCACAAGGTAATGTGCGCAAATTACTCCACGGCTATATAGATTATCTGTGAGGGAATCATGTAAAAACTGATGTCACTGGTTTGGTGTTAAAAGTTCAGATTCTACAGACATATCATGACTATGTGGCTGCTGTGGACCTGAAACTTCTTCCTTAGAGGACAAGTTTTTCCTCCCTGCTGCTTTTGCTCACTCCTTTGGGGCCAGGAAAAGGGCTGGCTTTGACCTAGAATCAAGAAAATGTGTTCAGACACTCAGACATCCCAATGTCCAGCCCATTTTTGTTCATAAAGAAAAGTCTGAAAATATAGTTCAAAATTGTACGAGTCGCTGCAGTTTTTTAGCACAATCAATCCATATCCTTGATGTGGTCACATGAGTGTCAGCAGAAGTCTTGAAATCAGTCCATGACGACCTAGGGGAGATTGTTGGCTCAGTGTCTTTCCATTTATACCTTCATTTATTTATTCATCAGTGACAACATCAGGAATTCCTTGTGTTTGTCAAACAGGTCAAGCCGAGGTGGCCTCAGGCCCTCTGAGCCCCCTCCAAACATAGACCCTAATGTGGATTAGGGCAGAATATGCAGTAGTATTGTCCCCTGTCCCCTGTATTTGGCATACCTGTTTTGATTCAATAAGTGAGAACAGGGAACAATACTACTGCACACATTTGCAGTAGTTTGCTTGTTGGCATCATTTCCAATGGAGAGGAAAGTTTTGTTGAGAAGACACTGCATCCATCTGTCTTTGATCCCCATACCCCTGCAAAACTGAGAACTAAGTATAACTACACTTGGACCCAGTGCCATTTATTGCAGTTCATAGTAGATAACTCTGGGACATGATAAGGGGAGAGCACTTTTCAGTCTATAGATGACATAAGCAAATTTCATCTCACCCCCTCCTCACAGGCCTCTTGTGGTTGGCTACTTTCCCACCAGTCTCAGATGAGAAAACCCAATCCCATAAAACTTCACTGCCCAAGATCACAAGATGCTCAAAAGATGAACTAGAATGCAAGACTGATGCTTTTTCTCCTAGAACAGGTGAAGTGCATGATGCTCCTCTCAAAATACCGTACAAAGAAGTATTGATTTAAAAAGATTTCATGTTGGGGTGCCTGAATTGGTTAAGTGTCTGATTCTTGATTTTGGTTCAGGTCATGATCTCACAGTTCATGGGACTGAACCCTGTGTCAGGCTCTGTGTTGACAGCATGGAGCCTGCTTGGGATTCTTTCTCTCCATCTTTCTCTCTGCATGCCTCACCCCCCCCCCCACTTGTGCTCTCTCTCACTCTCTCTCCGTCTCAAAGTAAATTAAAAAACTTAAAAAAATAAAAAGTTTTCATGTAGATCCAATGAATGATTCACACAGCTAAGATTTATTTTCCCATAGGTTATCTTCAAAAAGAAAGCTTGAAAGATACTGAATTTGTATCAAGTTCAAAACAAGAAGAACATTTAGCTAAACTATTTGGTAAGTAATCTCCTCTTGCAAAGCCATCAGGCTGTCTTTGAAGAATCTCATGCTTGTCCACAGTTGTCTCTCAGCCTGATGCTTTGGTGGGAGGGAGCATGCTTGCCTTGAGGCTGGAACCAGTTCTTGGAAGTGTCAGAGAAATTATTAAAAGGAACCAAAGAATTTCTAGAGTTGAAAAGTACAGTAGCTAAAATGAAAAACTCATTAGAGGCATTTGACAGCAAGTTTGAGAGGCAGAAGTAAGTATAAGTAAATTTCAACTTGGACAATTGAAATTATCCAGTCTGAAGAGCAGAAAGAAAAAGAAAAACAACACAAGACAATGAGCAGAGGATGAAGGACCTGTGAGATAGCATCAAGCATACCAACATATCTATTAACAGAAATCCCAGAAGGAGGAGAGAGAGAGGGGCAGAAGATATATTTGAGAAAATAATGGCCCAAAACTTCCCAGATCAAATGACTATATATGTCCAAGAAGCTCTAGAAACTCCAGGCATAAGGGCAAGAGATTCATACTGAAATATATTATAGTCAAATTGTTGAAATCTGAAGACAAGGAGACAGTCTTGAAAGCAGCAAGGGAAAACCTACTCATCATTTACAAGGGATCCTCAAGAAGATTAATGGCTTATTTCTTCTCAAAAATCATGGACACCAGACACAATGATATGACATGTTTAACGTCCTGAAAGAAAAGTACTGTCAATCAATAATTTTATATTTGACAAAACTATTCTCTGAGCATAAAAGATAAATTAAGGCATGTCCAGATAAGCAAAAGCTAAGAGATCTGCCTGGAGGAAATGCTAAAGAGAGTACTTCAGACTGAAATGAAAGGACACTAGACAGTCAAAAGTTTAAGAATAAAATGAACACTGGTAAAGGTGACTACATGGTAAATATAAAAACCAAATATTATTGTAATTTTGTTTTGTTAACTTCATTCTTTTTTGCAATATGAATTAAAAGGCAATGCATAAAACAATAATTGTAGATTTATGTTAATGGACATAGAATGTGTAAAGATGTAATTTGTGACAATATGGGTGAGGGTAGAGATTTATATGAGCAGAGTGTTTACATACTATTGTAATTAAGTTGGTACTATAAAACTAGATTGCTATAAGTTAAAAATGTTAGTTGTAGGGGTGCTTGGGTAGCTCAGTTGGTTAAGCATCTGACTTTGGCTCAGGTCATGATCTCAAGGTTTGTGAGTTTGAGCCCTGTGTCATGTCAGGCTCTGTGCTGACAGCTCAGAGCCTGGAGCCTCTCCCTCTCTCTCTGCCCCTACCCTGCTCATGCTCTGTCTCTTACTCTCTCTCAAAAATAAACATAACATAACATAACATAACATAAAATAAAATGGTAGTTGTAATTCCTAAAGTAACCACAAAGAAAGGAAGGCAATTGAAATATAACATTACAAAAAATCAACTAACTCCCAAAAGAAAGCAGGAATTGAGGGGGGGAAATTATAGGACACAAAAAACAAATAGCTAAATAGCAGAAGTAAATTCTTTATCTGTAATCACATTAAATATAAATGGATTAAACTCTTATTAAAGAGCAGAGATTAGCATATTGGCGAGAAAATCCAATTTTCTTGTTGGAAATGTAAAATGGTATATCTGCTATGGAGAACAGTATGGCTGTTCCTTAAACAATTAAAAATAGAATTACCATATGACCCAGCATCCCATATTTGGTTATATATCTCAAAGAATTGGAAGTCCCAAAGGGATATTTACCATGCTCACAGCAGTATTATTCACAATACCCATGAGGCAGAAGAAACTCTACTGTCCATGGATGAATAGACTAAAAAATATGGGATATACACACAGTGGAATATTATTCAGCCTTAAAAAGGAAGGAAAATCTGTCACATGCTACAACATGAATGTACCTTGAAGACATTATGCCAAATGAAATAAGCCAGTCACAGGAAAACAAATACTGTATGATTCTACTTATAAATGGTATCTAAAGTCAAATTCATAGAAACATGTAGAATGATAGTTTCCAGGGCTGGGGCTGGGGTAGGGGAGGAGCAAACAGGGAGTTGTTTAATGAGAATAGTGTTTCAGTTTTGCATGATGAGAAAGTTCTAGGTATCTAGTATACAGCACTGAATAAACAACACTACTGTACTATATCCTTAAAAATGATTAGGATGAATGGGGTGCCTGGCTGTCTCAGTTAGTGGAATGTGCAATTCTTGATCTTGGGATTATGGATTTGAGCACCACATTGGGTGTAGAGATTACATTAAAATAATAAAATTTAAAAAAATTATTAGGATGTTTTTCTATGTTTTTTTTACAACTAAAAAACTTATTTTAAAATTTAGCATCCTTTTGTGATAAAAACACTCAAACTATATGATAAAGGCCATGTATGAAAAATACACATCATACTCAATGATGAAAGAATGGAAGTTTTTCCTCTAATATTAGGCATAAGGCATCCTTGCCAATTCTTCCCACATAGACTGTAAGTTCTAGCAGAGAAATTAGGCAATAAAAAGAAATAAAATATATAAAATGGCTCCATTAAAAGTTCACAAAAAATTGTTAGAGCTAAAAAATTAATACACATAATCATCAGTTTGTTCTCTATAGTTAAGCCTGTTTCTTGGTTTCTCTCTCTCCCCCTTATTTGTTTTATTTCTTTTTTTTTAAGGTTTTTTATTTATTTCTAGGAGAGAGAGAGAGAGACAGCGCGAGCAGGGGAGGGTCAGAGAGAGAGGGAGTCACAGACTGAAACAGGCTCCAGGCTCTGAGCTGGCAGTCAGCACAGAGCCCGACGCGGGGCTCGAACCCACGAACCGTGAGATCATGACCTAAGCGAAAGTCGGACGCTTAACTGACTAAGCCACCCAGGCGCCCCATGTTTTATTTCTTAAATTCCACATATGAGTGAAATCATATGGTATTTGTCTTTATCTGACTGACTTATTTTGCTTAGTATTATACTCTCTAGCTACATCTGAAAGTTTGCAGGATATAAAAACAACACAGAAAAATCATTTGTATTTCTAAACTCTGGTATGAATAGTCCAAAAAAAATCAAGAAAACAATTCTGTTTACAATGACATCAAAAATATTGAAATACTTAGGAATACATTTAGTGAAAGAGGCAAGTGACTTGTAGACAGAACGGTACAAAATGGTGCTGGAAGAAATTAAAGAAGACCTTAATAAATGGAAAGATATCCAATCTTCACGGATTTAAAGACTTAGTATTATAAAGATGACAATAGTCCCCAAAGTGATCTACAGATTCAATGCAATCCCTATCAAGATTCCTAACTGCATTTTTTTTGCAAATATAGAAAAACTTATTCTGAAATTCCCGTAGAATCTCAGTACGCCCAAAGTAGGCAAAATAATCTTGAAACAGGACAAATTTGGAAGAATCCCACCTCCTTATGTCACAGCTTACTACAAAGCTACAGTTATTAAAAGAGTGGCACTGATATAAGGATATATATATAGATCAACAGAACAGGATAGAGAGCCCAGAAATGAATGCATACATCCATGGTAAGTCGATTTTCAACAAAGGTGCCAAGACAATTCAAGGGGAAAGAGGAATCTCTTTAACAAACTGTCCTGGGAAAACTGTGTATTCACATGCAAAAAAAAAAAAAATGAAGTTGAATCTTTATACCAGATACAAAAATTAAAACTAAACTGGGTGAAAGACCTAAATTTATGAGCTAAAACTAAAACTTCTAGAAGAAAATGTGGGAGAAAAATCTTCATGACCTTGGATCCGGCAAAGGTACATTAATTTTGATACCAAAAGCACAGGCAACAATAGATAAAATAGGTAAACTGCCCTTCCCCAAAATTAGAAACTTCGTACATCAAGGAACACAATCAAGATAGTGAAAATAAAATCCACAGAATGGAAGTAAATATTTGCAAATCATATCTCTGATAAGGAATTAAGATCTAGAATATAGAGAGAACTCCTACAACTCAAAAGCAACAATAAAACAAACCAACCAACTGACCCAATTTAAAAAATGAGCAAAGAAACTGAATAGATGTTTTCCAAAGAAGATATACAAATAGCCAATAAGAACATGAGAAGTTACTCAATATTACTAGTCATTAGGGAAATGCAAATCAAACCACAATGAGATAACTCTTTGCACCTATTAGAATGTGGTTTATTTATTTATTTAAAGTTTATTTATTTTGAGAGAGAGAGAGGGAGAGAGAGGCAGGGAGGGGCAGAGAGAGAGAGAATCCAAGCAGCCTCCATGCTCAGTGCAGAGCCTGATGCGGGGCTTGAACTCACAAACCCTGAGACAATGACCTGAGCCAAAATCAAGAGTCTGACACTTAACAGACTGAGCCACCCAGGCAACCCAAGAATGTGTATTTTTTTTAAAGAAATGGAAATAAGTGTCGAGAAGGTTGTAGGAAATTAGAACCCTTGTGCATTGCTTGTGAGAATGTAAGACAAAGTCTCTGTCGAAATGATTTGGTGGTTCTTCCAAATGTTAAACATAGCATAATCATATAATCTAGCAATTCCACTTCTAGGTATATACCTACTAGAATTGAAAACACTTGCTCAGGAGTGCCTGGGTGGCTCAGTCAGTTGAGCATCTGACTTCAGCTCAGGTCATGATCTCACAGTTTGTGAGTTTGGGCCCCGAGTCAGGCTCTGTGCTGACAGCTCAGAGCCTAGAGCCTGCTTTAGATCCTGTGTCTCCCTCTCTCTCTGCCCCTCCCCTGCGCATTTTCTGTCTCTCTGTCTCTCTCTCTCTCACTCTCATAAATAAATAAAAACATTTTAAAACAAGAAAGAAAAACCCCCCAGGAGCTCAAGCAGATATTTGTACACCAATATTCATAGCAGGATTATTCACAATAGGGTATGGAGACAGTCCAGGTGTCCATCACAGATGAATGGATACACAATATGTGGTATGACATATAATAGAATATTCTTTGCTCATAAAAATAAATGAAATTCAGTTACATGCTAACATATGGGTGAACCTTGAAGACATTATACTAAATGAAATAAGCCAAACACAAAAGCATAAATATTGTATGATTCTACCTGTGTGAGATATCTAAAATAGGCAAATTAATAGAGACAGAAAGTATAATAGAAGTTACCAGGGGCTGGGGAATGGGAGAATGGAGAGTTATTGCTTAATAGGTACAGAGTTTCTGTTTGAGGAGATGGAAAATTTCTGGAAATAGTGGCAATGTTTGTACAACATTGTGAATGTCCTTAATGTTGCTGAATTGTACACTCAAAATGCTTAAAATGGGAGTGCCTGGGAGGCTCAGTCGCTTAAGCGTCCGACTTCGCCTCAGGTCATGATCTCACAGTTCATGGATTTGAGCCCTGTGTCAGGCTCTGTGCTGACAGCTAGCTCAGAGCCTGAAGCCTGTCTTCGGATTCTGTATCTTTCTCTCTCTCTGACCCTCCGCTGCTCACACTGTCTCTCTCTGACTCTCAAAAATAAATAAAAAACATTAAAAAATTTTTTAAATGCTTAAAATGAAAACTATATGTATATATTTTATCACCATAAATTTTTTTTAATGTTTTATTTATTTCTAGGAGAGAGAGAGAGAGACAGCGTGAGCAGGGGAGGGTCAGAGAGAGGGAGTCACAGACTCTGAAACAGGCTCCAGGCTCTAAGCTGGCAGTCAGCACAGAGCCCGACGCGGGGCTCGAACCCACGAACGGTGAGACCATGACCCAAGCGAAAGTCGATCGCTTAACCGACTAAGCCACCCAGGCACCCCATATCACCATAAATTTTTTAAAATTTAAAAACAGCAATAACAAAATAAGGCCCAGGGAAGTCTTCTCTTTTTTTTTTTTTAATTTTTAAAAAATGTTTTATTTATTTCTGAGAGAGAGAGAGAGAGATAATGTGAGCAGGGGAGGGTCAGAGAGAGAAGGAGACACAGAATCTGAAACAGGCTCCAGGTTCTGAGCTGGCTGTCAGCACACAGCCTGACGTGGGGCTCGAACCCACGAACCACAAGATCATGACCTGAGCCGAAGTCGGACGCTCAACCAACTGAACCACCCAGGCACCCCAAGTCTTTATCAGAGAACTGAGACTGAGAGAAAATGTTTGAAACCATAGCTGTCTGCTGAAGGAAGGCATCCAGGTTCCAAAGAAATCTCTCCTCTCTGGTTGTGTGTGTGCTTCAGGAGTAGACAGTGAGGGTTACATATGGTCTGAGGAGGAGCTCTCAGGAGTTTACGCACCGATGCTTCCCTCTGGGTTAGGACCTGTTGGGTGTTGTGATCACAAAGCTATGCCTGCCAATCCTGCTTTGAAGGGGGACATTTCTCTACACAAGAGACCTTTTTTCCAGGAGCTGTCCCATGTTGGGAATTCTGGGTTTGCCCTTCCTTCATATGTGCTATTAAAAAGGCTTCAGTAAATCTGCACTGGGTGGCTGGCTGATTGAATGATGGGTAGGTTACCATGACTGAACGAAGGGATGCAGATAGCTCTTGCAGCAGCCCTCACTGTGTTTTCAGAAATTCTCACCTGAGAATCAGAAGACTTTTCTCCTCCTTGTAGGAGCCCTATGCCTTTGAATCCTGCTCCACATGTGTGGAAGGGGAATGCGTGAGTGTGAAGATGGATGCCTGGTTTGGGTTTTGAGAGGTTCCTATCATCCCTCAAAGGCCTGCTGACCTGCCCAGTGCCATGCTAATGTTGGTCTTGGCATTGGTGGGCCAACAATTTCAGATCCTCAGCAACAATTCAGGACCCTGTAGGTCAACCTGTAGGTCAGCCATTAAGGAAGTGACTGGTGACATGCAGGCAGAGGCCGAGTGCCTCTGCTGGATAGGTAACCAGGTGAGTGCAGGTGGTTCACACTCTCTGTACTATCTAAAATGGGCACATTCTAAGTTAATAACCTCTCATTTTAAATATTCACTTTCTTTTTAAAAAGGTAATGTGTGGGGCGCCTGGGTGGCTTAGTCGGTTAAGCGTCCGACTTTCGCTTGGGTCATGATCTCGCGGTTCGTGGGTTCGAACCCCGCGTCGGGCTCTGTGCTGACTGCCAGCTCAGAGCCTGGAGCCTGTTTCAGTCTGTGACTCCCTCTCTCTCTGACCCTCCCCTGCTCACGCTGTCTCTCTCTCTCTCTCCTAAAAATAAATAAAACATTAAAAAAAAAAAAAGGTAATGTGCTTATCTGAGCTAGTGAATCAGAACAAAAACGAGCGAAGAAAAATAGTCTTGCTACAGCCTTTCTGTCAGCCAGGTGTGCATTCCTCCTCTCTCTCCATCTCTCTCCATGCCCGTAAAAACATAAGTGCATGTGCAGAGGTTTTTGTTTTTACTGCTTTTACAAAATTGGGATCATTCTCAATAGTATACTTTTCTCACCTTGGTTGGAAAGTGTTGGTTCTGGTGAATTAAAAAGTTTAGTATTTACGCAAGTCTATATATGAAACTAAAACATTACATTTAAGACTGAAATTCTATTTGACCTTTCTTTGTTCCCTACCTCCTTAAAGTTAACATTATTAGTTCTTTTATTGTGCATTTACAAGCGTGTCTATGTACCTATAGAAACTAGGTGGTATTTTGTTAAAAAAAAGATTTTTTTAAAAAAATAAATGGGATCCTAGTGTTGGGGGAAAAAAAGAGAAGGAGGCTGGTGATAAGAACTCGTTTTGAATAAATAAATTTGATAGTTAATTTTGGGGTCCTTAAGCATATATTCCATCAGGTGAGCAGACCAACCACCAATGTACCAACACCCTTGAAAAAGGACTCAGAGTATATACAAAATGAATGGAATTTGTGAGGATTATTTTCAATGGCTTTGCAAAGTTAACCTAGACAGAATAACAAAAACTGCTGTCCTCAGGGAAAAGTAGAAGCCTGAAAACTTTAAAAAGGTGAGAGAGATTAGTATATTTTAAAATATATAACCATGAAAAATTAGGAACAGCTTATAAAGAGCTTTCTGACATTGAGAAACCTGCTCTGCTTTATTTTCGCCCCCGCAGACTTTGCCACATACAAACCTATGAGCCCTCTTGGGGAAGTCTCCGAAGTGGGTCTGAATGACAACAAGAGCAAGAAGGAAAATAATGACACTAAATATCATGAGATTTGGGGCAAAGTTTCTAGCTGCATATCTTTTAATGGGAAATATTTACTGCTCAAGACATCTAGGGTAATCACAATTTTCCAGAAATGATTGTAGGGGTTAGGATTTCCCTTCCCAAGACTAGGTGTTCTAGAGTATAATTTTAAAATTTCCATTGAGTCTATATCATTTATTAACTGTATTTATAGACTGCTTTAGGTACTTACAGAGAAAAATATGTCAATCCTCCACTGCTGATATTAACATGCCTTTTGTACTCCACTTGAGATGAAATTCTACAGCAGGTGTTTTCCAAGGTCCCGCGTGAGGCACCATTTGATAAAACAAGAACAGAAGTCAAATCAATTACAAAGAGAGACACAGGAGAAGGCAAGTGTATGTTTCTCAAATTATAAGTGCACATATTTCTATGGGCCTATGTATTGAATTATCTACACAGCATTCTCATTTTATTTATTTAAAAAAAAATTTTTTTAATGTTTTTTATTTATTTCTAGGAGAGAGAGAGAGACAGCGTGAGCAGGGGAGGGTCAGAGAGAGAGGGAGTGACAGACTCTGAAACAGGCTCCAGGCTCTGAGCTGGCAGTCAGCACAGAGCCCGACGCGGAGCTCGAACCCATGAACCGCGAGATCATGACTAAAGCGAAAGTCGGACGCTTAACCGACTAAGCCACCCAGGCGCCCCACAGCATTCTCATTTTAGTTATTTGTTAAATAGCTACCTGTGCGGCATAGACAAATTGAGATATGAAGAAAAGAATTGTCTGAAGACCTCCCTATCACCTTCAAGTCTAGGGTCAAGTCTATGGTCTAAAATGTATCTATTCTTCTGTTTTCGGGGGAGGGGATCCTTGAAATTCATGTGTCGAGCAGCTTCTTCCTTTCTGGAGAGTGTTCAGAGGACAGTCAGTTCAGAGGAATTACAATTGGTGTTTACTGTTCCTGACCACAGGAGCCCTGAGTAATGTAATAACTTTGTACTGAACACACTTTATAGTTCCACGTGCATGACCTGGTTTGATACTTTGCTTAGCCCTTGGAGAGAGCTGGTGGAGTCATTAGTATACCATTCAATGGGTAAGACCCAGGCTAAAGAAGTATTTGCCCTAGGCACACCAGTAGAAATAACAATAATGAAAAATACACTCTTCTGCAAAGCAACTTCACATTATTATTTTTTAGGTAGCAGTTTGAGAATTAAGACAATTATTTGATCATAGATCACAAGGAGAGAATTTTATATCAGACTTGCCTACAGGCAACATTTGTGTACTAGCAGTACACAAAAAGTGCCCTGGGCAGCAGAGAAATAAGCACTGTGTGGGAATTTTGCATACAGATGTGGATTCCAGTTCCCAAGGTTTGTTTCCCATAGCATCTGCCTGGGCTCCAGCCTCTGCAGTCAGCAGCTAGCTGATGCCTCTCTGTATTGATATATAAACTTTCAAGTATACATTCTCAGTGTAATTGAATTCTATATTTGCACTTCAACAAAACGTGGACCCAAAGTGCTCATAATGTGTGCTGATACAAATTTTCTTTTTAATTTGCCCCCCATAGATTTCATCAAAGGAGCGAGTGTTGCTGGTTATTCTACTAAACTAGGATTTCTCCCTGGCAGCATGGATGGAATGTCCACTAATGGTAAATGCAAATGGATCTCATTGGAGTTGAGGTTAATAAGTAATACCCCTTCTTCCTTTAGCTGAGTTTAGAACCAAATGGGAGACTGAGCTAAGGATCCTGCTGATGGAGCGCAGACTATCTTCTCAAGAAAACTTGGCTGGTTAACATAGGTGCTTCACTTCGAATTAGGATGAGTACCTAAGTCACTGGTGAGGTTTACGATGCCCATGGTTTCCCCATAACTCCACCCTGAGAGAGTTTGTTCCTATAACATTCACAGCATAGAGGAGAAGATAAGAAAGTTTGCTCTCCACAGGCAGACAGATGCCAGAGAGGGAGAGGGAGAGAGAGAGCGCGCGTGAGAGAGAGAGAGAGAGAGGAGATGGCTGTAGGAACCTCAATACTACTCCCAAACTTAACAACAAAGTCCCTTTCTCCTCCTGAGAGGTGGGGGCTGGTGAGGGACTGAGCACATTCCTGAAGTGATACCCCAGAGGAGTTCTCTCCACTCCCCAGAGGAGTGTGGGAAAATGCTCCCCTTCACCTGATGAGCAAAGGCTCATCTCACAGACCCAGTTATGGTGGAAGCAGACTGGCTCCCAAGACAGGATGAAGAACTATCATCTCATGAAGCATTTATTCCCCATGCAGGTAAAGATTTAAGAGGAAAAACAGGCTAACTATGTCACTGTCCAAACTGGCAAATATGTGGTCTTTCCCAGGCATAGGAATATGAACTAGGTCAGTGGTTCTCAGCCCTGACCACATATCAACCATAGAGAGGAGGATGAGACATGGGAAGAGATTATAAACCCTTATTTCTGGAACTCACCAGTAGTTTCTAAAAGTGGAGTCCAGGGTTCTGCACATTTTTGCATCATTTTCTCAATGACTTGCCTACAGGCAGCATTTGAAACCATTGACCTAGATGGGTTTTGGAGATTAACTTACCAGAGAATTCTCTTTATTTTTTTAAAAAAAGTGTATTTATTTATTTGAGAGAGTGGAGGTGGGAGGGGCAGAGAGAGAGTGATAGAATCCCAGGCAGGCTCCACAGTCAGTGGAGCCTGATGTAGGGCTCGAACTCACGAAGTATGAGATGTGACCTGAGCTGAAATCAAGAGTCAGATGAGCCACTAACTGAGCCATCCAAGTGTCCCCACAGAATTCTCTTTAAAATGAATACTTATAATATTCCTGATTATATTGTTGTGCCCGATTCGCGAGTCCCCAGAGACCACCAAGGAGCTGACACTGATGCAAATACAAAAGGGTCTTTATTACAAGCTTGGGCAGGGGCTCACCCGCCTACCAGTGTAGTGGCAGAAGGGTAAGCCCCGAACAATAGTGAGCAGGGTGTTTATGGGGTAAAGGGCGGGGGTGTTACAGTGCACACGTTGTGCGTATAGCATCATCACATAAGCACCAATTACAATTGTACAGCACCCATGGTAACAGCTTTGACGATTCAGTATCTGTGAGGTGTTCATTACTTTTGGTGAGACCCAATCATGACTTTTGAGGATCCTTTGAAAATGACCAGTTATGAGGTGAGTTCAAAGGGCCCACGTGGGGTTCAGGCCAGCGGTAAGAAATTGGCTAATTTGTACAGAATAACTCTCTACAGTTCCCAGCCTTGACTCAGGCCACAGGAATGTTTTTTTGACTAGCTGATCTGAGGGCAGTCCGAGGGTGGCTTTAGCCTTGAGCAATCTGAGGAACTGGGGCTATGTGCAGCGCGAGGTTGCTCTTAATGGAGGCCTTAATCTCAAAATGATGTTACTTAGGCTCTTCAATATAATATAATACTTATCTGTCCTATACATTCCTTTCTGTTAATTTTGTGATAATCACAAATTAAACATAGCTAAGCATCTCTTTGGTACCTCGGTCTACACTGGGAGAAGTGAGAGGCTGACTTTATACTGAGAACCACACATGGGCTACAATGATTTCATCAATACAGTCCACATCATGCCATCTTTCACTAAAAATGGCTACATCATTTATTAAAAAGTGCACCTTGGTTCCAGTGATCTGAGATACCCTCTTTATCTTATACTAAATTCCCATATATCCTAAGTCTATTCCTGGACTTATTATCCGAACCACTGGCTTCTGTACACAACAGTACAACACTGTTTTCACTCCAGAGGCTAGAATGGTATGTTTTAATGCCTTATGGGACTAGTCCCTATTTTGTAGTTTTTGTTTTTTCAGTATTTTCCTGGTGACTTTTACATGTTTGTTTTTCACATGAACTTTCCTACCAACTTGTGTAACTTCATTGGAAGCCTGTTGTTATTTTTATTGGCATTGCATTACATTTATACTATTATATTCACTTTGGAAAAACTGATGATAAGTCATTCTGTGCTGGAAATGGGGATGTCTTTCCATTTCTTCAAGTTACTTTTGGCTCTTTCAGTGTGTGATTTTTCTCCCTTAGAGGAGCTTGACTCAGTGCTTGGCCACCTTCTAAGTATAACATGGATTTATTTTCCTGTATCTTTTCAGGCCCCCAAAGTGTACAGAGGCCAGTCTAAACTAAGTTTGGAGGCCATTCCTTTTTTTTTTTTTTAAGTTATTTATTTATTTTGAGAGAGAGAGAGCGAGCACAAGTAGGGATGAGGTACAGAGAGGAGAAGGAGAGAGAGAGAGACAGAGAGACAGAGAGAATCCCAAGCAGGTTCCGCACTGTCAGCACTGAGCCTGACCCGGGGCTCAAACCCACAAACCATGAGATCATGACCTGGGCAGAAACCAAGAGTCGGATGCCCAACCGACTGAGCAACCCACATGCCCCTCCTTTTTTTTTTTTTTTATGTATATATACACAAGGAATCACATTACAGATTGATCATTACATTCATCTGGATAATCCATGATGTTGGGTTTCTAGGAGCCGCAAATTAGAAGAAATATGTAGATTAGAAAACTTCCCTTGGGACTATAATGTCAGATTGAATAATTTGAATTTACTGTTTTTTGTAGGTCAAAAATGGTCAAATATTGGGGTACCTGGGTGGCTTGGTTGAGTGTCCGATTCTTGGTTTTGACTCGGGTCATGATCTCACAGTTTGTGAGTTTGAGTTTGAACCCCACATTAGACTCTGCACTGACAGCATGGGGCCTGCTTAGAATTCTCTTTCTCCCTTTCTCTCTGCCTCTCTCTCTCTTGAAATAAAATCAACTTTAAAAAATATTTTTAAAAAGTGGCCAAATATCTCCAATTTCATATGGTTCAACATCAACCAATTTCATATGGTCTCTGCTTAATGGTGTGGGTGGGTCGTATATCCAAGTCCAGGCTTCCTGCAGAGTGTAGATGCCTTTGTAAGGGTGTTACTTCTCTCTATCCACAAAACTGGAGGCAGCTGATTAAAATCCTTATGCTTATGTGGACATAAGCAAATGCTTCCTTTGTTCAGCTGTCTTCCTTGGAATTTCATTTCTTACTGTGGTTTCAAAACAGGTCTTCAAATTCTTTGATAGCCTCCCCTTTGAAAGGTGGAGCTTAATCCCCTACCCCTTGTGGGTGGGTGGGCTGGACTTAATGACTTGCTTCTAATGAATAGAATGTGACAGAAATGATAGTGTGCTACTTTATAGATTAGATCATAAAATACATTGTGGTTTCTGCCCGGCTATCTCTTGAATTGCTCACTCTGGGGAAAGTCAGTTGCCATGTTGTAAGGACGTTCCAGCAGTGTCCACTCACTTAAGGAGGGGCCCTGGTGGTGAAGAACTGAGCCCTCCTGCCTACAGCCAGTGAGGAGGTGAGGCCTTCTGCCAACAGCTGTGATTGAGCCATCTTGGAAGCAGACCCTCTGGTGCCAGTTAGCCTTCAAATGACTGCAATCTTGGCCCACAGATCAGACTTAGCTGGGTGATTGATTCTGGCTTAGAGTCCCTCACGAGGTTGTAGTCAAGAGTCTTCAAGATTCCTTCTCTCACTCAAGACCTAGTTATTGATCTCCTACCCAGTGAGAGGTGCCGTGCCAGGAGTAGAGAGCTGAAAAAGGCATTTGTGTCCTCCAAGTGCTCACTGCTAATAGGAAAGTCGGTGTAATTATCAGCTATAAATATGCTAAAATGGAAAATACTTAAAAAGTGCTTCAGGTTGTATTTGAATGGAACTTTGGGAGGACAAAAGAGAGGCAGATCTGCTAACTAAGGTTTTTGAGTAGAGAGAGTGAATTAAGAAGACACCCAAGAAGGGGCGCCTGTGTGGCTCAGTCAGTTAAAAGCGTCCAACTTCAGCTCAGGTCATGATCTCCTGGTTTGTGGGTTTGAGCCCGGCATCAGGCTCTGTGCTGACAGTTCAGAGCCTGGAGCCTGCTTCCGATTCTGTGTCTCCCACTCGCTCTCTGCCCCTCACCCACTTGTGCTTTGTCTCTCAAAAATAAATAAAAATGTTTAAAGAAAAAAGAGAGAGACCCAAGAAGCCCCTACAGACACAGTGAAGGTCCCACCACACAAGAAAAGGAGGCTGACGAGGCCCCTCTTCAGAGACGAGGAGCTGCTCTGAAGCTTTTCCGCAGGACTAGGAAATCTAGACCACACAAATCTTCCTTAGCAAAAGGGACCATTCCCTTAAAAAATTAACGGTAAGAAAAAGCTGTGTAGGAAGAGGGGTGAGGAAACGATTTTTTTGAGAAGTGAAGTCTTATAAAAAGTGTGCACAGGGGCGCCTGGGTGGCTTAGTCGGTTAAGCGTCCGACTTTCGCTTAGGTCATGATCTCACGGTTCGTGGGTTCGAGCCCCGCGTCGGGCTCTGTGCTGACTGCCAGCTCGGAGCCTGAAGCCTGTTTCAGTCTGTGCCTCCCTCTCTCTCTGACCCTCCCCTGCTCGCGCTGTTTCTCTCTCTCTCTCCTAGAAATAAATAAAACATTAAAAAAAAATTAAAAAAAAAAGTGTGCACAGGTGTGCAGCGAGTTCAGGTTACCATTGATGTTAGCTCTGCTAGAGGGAACCTAGTTCTTGGTTAACAGTGCAACACTAAGGTGCTATTAATAGAACCAATCAAAGTCTCATTTCAATGCTAGTCCCCTGAGGGGGAGGGAGAGAGAGAGAGAGAGAGAGAGAGAGAGAGAGAGAGAGAGAGAGAGAGAGACAGAGAGAGAGACAGAGAGAGACAGAGAGAGACAGAGAGAGGGATAGAGGGAGGGAGAAAAATGATGTAAGACTTCAACTTTTCCCTGAACACAAAGCCAAAATGTCTTGGTTCTGGGCTCATTGAACACAACTTTATCAGGCCCAGGATGTGACTGGTTGGCACTGGGATTGAGTCTGCATCGTGGATATGGGGATTTGTTTAGAGTGCTCTCCCCCCATAATGGGCTGCTGCTTCTCTCATAGTTAATGGGTTTCTACAGTTGAAATGAAGTTTGGAAACTGACTGTATTTGGCAAAACATGGTAATTGTGCTTATTTTGTCCCGCAGAAAAAAAATCCAACAAATGATCAAAATCACAACTCATGTTGATGATAAGTGTAGACAGCGGTTCCTAATTCTGGTTTTTGTTTTTGTGGAACAGAGACAAGGAAAGTAAAAATTTGTGTTTAAGTGATGAGTCTATCTTTTTTACACCTTTATGAAAGAGCAAAAGGCGAATTCAATCCCTTAGTGGACGGACTCTATGTCGTCCAGAGTTTTCTGTGTATCTGTGGTTGTTAATCTCTTGACTCTGATTTCATAGCCTAGCATTTCCAAAGTCAAGTAATTATGACTCATCTTAAGTTGGGAACTTTTTCTCTTTTCTAAGCCAGATTGAATAAGGAACAAATTTCTCTCTTTCCCCAGAAATAATTAAGACCTCAACTGGCTGTTATCACACACCATGCCAGTGCTAACCACATTGCCTCATTCCCACCTCTTTGAGAACTAGGCTTAAGCCTGATTCACCAATCAAAGCTGCCTCTCAGCTTAAAGGCATCTGGGCCCAGGGTCCCCAGCCTTGAAGACTTCTGGGGACACAGGGTTCGTTACTTCTCACTCTCATTCCCTTTTTAATGGCCCTACTTTCTAAATGCTAAACTGTTGGTCTCCATGTCTCTCTGGAGCTCTTACCTATTCGTTCTGCCTTGCTCCTGGAACTTCTCAGAACATCTCCTAGCCCCTTTCCAGGGCCATTCTTGTGTTAGGCAAAGACAGCTCTCCCCATTTCCTAGTCCTCTCCATGCTAAACTCACCCAGGCCCTTTGACAAGGTCTCATATGCAAATGAGTCAAAACTAGCTAGTGGCAGAGTTAGCGTGTTAATATTTCTGAGTTTCAACCCTGCCTGTTTCTACTAAACTGTCCTGTAGCCCCTCTCCCAATAAACGTAGTTCATTCTTCTGTCTTGCTCTTGCAATTTAAGGAACACTTTTGCAACATTTTGTGGTTTATAAACTGTTTCCGTGAACATTAAGCTATCTGTGAGATAGGTCGTCTTATTTCTATCTTATGCTAGTGGGAGACTGGAGTCAGAAGGGCTCAGCAACTGACTGAAAGATTCTCTCAAGGTCCTCAAAGGTGGTCCCTGACCAGCAGCATCAGTGTCACTTTGTGGGGGGGGGGGCGGAGGGGGGGGAACAATGTCTGTGAGAAATGCACATTCTCAGGCCTCCTCAGACCTACTGATTCAGAAACTCAAGGGTGGGACCCAATGATTGGTCTTTTAAGGTCTCCTGGTGATTTGGATGCACACTCATGTGTGAGAACTATGGCGGGTAGGTCACCCAGGAATTTGTTAGATTAAAAAAATAATAACAAAACGCTGATATACATTTGGACTTTTCTCCAAAATCCTTCCTGACTCCTCACTTTGATTCTAGAGGAAGTTATTTTATTTATTTTTGAGAGAGAGAGAAAGAGAGGATGAGCCTGGAAAAGGGGCAGAGGGAGAGAGAGAATTCGGAGCAGGCTCCACACCCAGTGTGGAGACTGATGTGGGACTTGATCCTATAATCCTGGGATCATGACCTGGGTCAAAATCAAGAGTCGGGCACTGAACTGACTGGGCCCCTAGAGGAAGTTGTTTTTATCATAAAAGTAGAACTAATCAGGGGAGCCTGGCTGGCTCAGTAGTAAAGCATGAAGCCCTTGATATCAGGGTTATGAGTTTGAGCCCCACGTTGAGCATAGAGATTACTTAAAAATAAAATCTTAGGAGGGCAGTTGGGTAGCTCAGTCAGTTGAGCATCCAACTCTTGATTTTGGCTCAGGTCATGATCCCAGGGTTGTGGTATTGACCCCTGTGATGCGCTCTCTGCTGAGCATGAAGCCTCTTAAGATTTTCTTTCTTTCTGTCCCTCTTCCCTGCTTGCATTCTCTCTCTATAAGATAAAATAAAATAAAATAAAATAAAATAAAATAAAATAAAATAAAACTTGCCACCTGGGTGTCTCAGTCAGTTAAGTGTCTGACTCTTGATCTCAACTCAGGTCTTGATCTCAGGGTCATGAGTTCAAGCCCCATGCTGGGCTCCATTCCATGCTGGGTTTGAAACCTACTTTAAAAAAATAAGAAATAAAATCTTTTTAAAACTTAAAAAGAATTTTTTTTAACATTTATTTATTTTTGAGAGTCAGAGAGAGACAGGGCATGAGCAGGGGAGGGGCAGAGAGACACAGAATCTGAAGGAGGCTCCAGGCTCTGAGCTGCCAGCACAGAGCCCGATGCGTGGCTTGAACTATGAACTGCAAGATCATGACCTGAGCCAAAGTCACTGGTTAACCATATGAGCCACCCAGGCGCCCCAAAAATAAATCTTAAAAAAATAGAACTAGGGGCACCTGGGTGGCTCAGTTGGTTAAGCGCCTAACTTTAGCTCGGGTCATGATCTCGTGGTTTATGAGTTCAGGCCCTGCGTTGGGCTCTGTGCTGACAGCTGGGAGCCTGGAACCTGCTTCGGATTCTGTATCTCCCTTTCTCTCTGCTCCTCCCCTGCTCACAGTCTGTCTGTCTCTCTCAAAACTATATAAACATTAAAAAATTAAAAAAAAAATAGAACTAATCATGGGCCAATGGCTGTTTCTAGATTAACACATTTTGTTTTTTGTCCTTCTGTAGGTCACATTTCAGAGAAGAGGGGAAAAAAATCCTCTATATTCAATAGGGATATAAATGAGCAACTTGCTGCTGAAGATAAAGAAACACTTCAAGAAGCAGTTGGGACAGGTAATAATCTATATCGTGTAAGCTAAATAGGATTATTTAAGTACAGATAACTTCAGAATGCATCTGTTTGCTTTTCATGGTATTTTAACAGAGTAGATGTCAGCATTTTACCACCGTTGCAAAAAGATGCTGCTTTTATGTTGCTTCTACACAGCCAGGGTCATTTGTAACATGGGCATCATCTTCTGAGTCTCTGTCATTACTGCACACAGAGGCTTTCTAACAAGCAGGAGGAATGAAATCCAATTATGAACCTCGTCCCTGATCTTCAGCCTTGGATGACCTAAGCCTGGATGCATTCAGTACAGGTAGAAACTTGCCTGTCATGACAATCGCAGGTACCAAGCTCAGTACACTCCAGGAAGTTGTTGTTGTAGACTATGGGTCTAAAGTTCTCTCTTGTCTTAGCAGGAGAGTGGGATGCAGGATTAAAAAATAGGAGAGAGAGATGGCTAATGTCCGGGAAAAGAGAAGAGCTGGAATAATGCTCCTTGTCCCATGTTTATTAAGATCAGATGGCTTACAAACGTGTTCACAGTTAGTTTCTTTGTCTCTTTGTTTCTTTAAGGCAAGTAGATAAGTTGTTGAGTTTAGTAACGCACAGAGGAGGTGCTGAGGTAAGCCACCAATGAGGACTTGGCATATGAAACCAATGTTCTTGTTCCATTTGGAAGGGTGGGTTAAGATTGGCTCCTCCCATGAACTCAGTGTCATTATTGCTAATAGGAATATCCTGGTCTAGGAGTGCTGTTAAATATAGGTGGGTTAAGGAGATGAGCCCAATATGAATATTGAGCTTGGCTCGGATAAATGAGGGCAAGGAGTATAATCAGGGTTACCTGTATCAGATTTCTGTCAATGATGGAAATCATGGCCATCAGATGTGAATTAGGGGTATATGCAATATCGCTATGTTGTAAGAGGATGCCGGCCTGGTTAAACAGGCGTTTAAGGCTTCCCGATGTTATATCAGGAGCAAGTACTTGTGTTTGTGGAGTGGCTTCAGGATGAGGAGTCCATGAGGAGCCTCTTTCTGTCTTGAAGAAGGGGGGCAGTGGCTGCTCACTCAGAGTCATTCTGTGGAAGCCTTTCTTGTTCATTGGAAGAAATCTTAGGAGTCTACCCCATGCCATGGTATGGCTTCACCAACTGAGAGAGGTTCCACAGAGGTCTGGAATCTGAAAGAACATAACTATATCCTCGACCCCAGGTGAGAAGTTTAATGGGCCCAGACCATGTGAGCCCCACTTCGGGGGTTTTGTACAGCACCATAGGGTAAGAGGGCTTATCTGTTTTGAAGAATGCCGTTCAGCTGCAGTCAGTTCTTGAGAATCAAGATTTAAAAAGTTAGGAGTGATCATAGCATGGATCGAAGAGAAGTTGAGGTTATAATGTAGACGGCCATGGGTATGTTCCCCTTTTTTGTTTTTTTAACATATTTTTTAGTGTGTCATCTGCTCATTTTATAATAGCTTGGCCTTGTGGGTTACAAGGAATACCTGTAATATGTCAGGTATTCCATAAGGCACAGAAAGTCACGAAATGAAGAGGAGCCATAGGCTGGGCCATTATCCATCTTAATTGTGGGGGGGAGGCCCCAGGCTGTAATAGCATGTAGAAGATGCTGAATGACCGCTTTAGTGTTCTCTTTTGCATGAGCTGAGGCAAAGATAACACCTGAGTAAGTATCTATAGATGTATGGATATAGCTATGTTTACTAAATGCAGGGTAAACTGTAATATCAGTTTGCCAAATTTCATTAGGCCTGAGGTCCTGGGGGTTTGTTCCTGCTGGGAAGGAAACAGTAATTGGCACTCTGAGCCACAGGGAATTATTTGTTTGGCCTCATTCACAGTAAGGTTAAATTGTTTGCTTAGAGCTTGGCAGTTTTGATGGTAAAGATTATGGGAGGTTTTGGCTTCAGAAAGAGGTCAACATTCTTGAGAAACAATGTCGTCAACTGAGGCATTACTTTCAACAATGGGCCCAGGGAGAAACGTAGGGGAGCCAATGTGAATGAAACAAAACAGGGAGGTGGAGATTAGAGCTAATTGAATACTTTGGAGGAGAATAGTAAAGGCAGGGTCTGGAGAGAGGCGAAGAATATGAAAAGGGAAAATTTCCATTAAATGCACTGCATTTTGAGAATCAGAAACCTTGTTTAAAGGCCAGGAGAAAGTTCCTATCGCTAATAATATGCCTCGTACTTTTAAATGCTGATGGAGCCTCATCCAGTGTAAGAAATATGTTTCCAGTTTTCCCCAACTCTCCAAAGGTGGGAAGCCTTGTGCGTTTTCCTGAGGCATCAGTAAACACCGCAAGGGCATTCTTTTTGTTTGTTTGTTTGTTTTTTACCATTGTAACCACTTTTATGTACACAGCTTAGTGGCATTAAGTATATTCACAATGTTGTGTACGTATCATCACTATATTTCCAGAACTTTTCATCATCCCAAACAGAAACTCTGTGCCATTCCCATTCTCTGCATCTCAACCCCTAGCAATCACTGCTCTGCCTCCTGTCTCTATGAATCTGTCCATCCTGGGTACCTCATCTAAGAAGAATCCTATAGCATTTGTTCTTTTGTGACTGGTATCTTTCTTTCTTCCTTCCTTCCTTCCTTTCTTTCTTTCTTTTTTTTTTTTACAGATAGTTTATTGTCAAGTTGGTTTCCATATAACACCCAGTGCTCATCCCCACAAGTGCCCTCCTCCATGCCC